CAGTGTCAGATGTCGCAGCTGGACCAACTGCCTGAGGTTTGGTTGCTAAGCCTTGCAGGTGACTCATTTATGTGACTGATATGAGGCAAGAGAACCACACTATTCAGGTCTATATTCTAAAGCTGCAGAAAGTCAGGCGTGGTGGTGCACGCCTATAATCCCAGCACTTGGGAGGCGTGGGCTCCAAAGTGAGTTCAAGGCCAGCCTGAATTGCACAGTGAAACCTTATCTCAAAAAGACCAATCAATCGATCGGTCAGTCAATCTGCAGGAAGCCAGCAACACCAAGCCAGTCTCTGTAGTACTCTCCATGAGGAATGAGGGATGCTATATTCATGAAATGAGAATGTATAGTACACTTTTGGTATGTGGTCAGTACAAGAAGAAAACCTGAAGAGTTATTCGTTTATGTAATTTTAGAGAACATTTGTAAGATTGCCCTCATTCTAATTAATGAATAACTACCTAAAAATTACTATGCTGGGTGCATCTATACACCTGTAATTCCAGGACTCTGGGGTGCTGACAGGAGCATCACAAATTCAAACCCAGCCCAGGCAAGTTAGCAGTTTAGTAAGAACCTGTCTCAAAGGGGTAAAAAACACAGGGGATGTAGTTCAGTGAGAAGGTTCTGTGTTCAATCCCTAATACCACACATAGCAAAACAAACAAACAAATAAAAAAACCAAAACATTACTTATTAAGCTCTACATCAAATTTTTATTATCTTATTTTACTTTTTTGAGACAGGGTCTTATCAAGTTGCCCAGGTTGGCTTTGAACTAACAGTTCTCCGGCACTGGCCTCTCAAATAGCTAGGATTACAGATTGACACCACTGTGCCTGGTTTACAGGAACTTCCGTAAATATTCAAAGGGAATGAAACCTATTTCATCTTTCTAGAAAGGTAAAAAACATTCCAGCTTTTCCAATACTTTTGAGTACTTTGAAATTTTTCTTTCTTGCTTTCTATGCTGGAGATCAAACCCAGGGCCTGCTATGGGCTCCACCACTGAGCTACATCTTCAACCCTTGAAATATTTAAAAGAGAGAGTTTTATCACAAGTATAGAATTTTAAAGAAAGGTATAGGAACATTTGCTAAGATAGTTTGGGGTCCTTTTATTTAAGCAGAGACATGATACACAGAAACACACAATTTTCATTTCTAAGTAACGGGCCACAGAAAAGCATGTAGGAAACAACTGGCCTATGATGGGCATGAAAGAAGGGAAGGAGGGCACAAAGAGGAAAGAAAAAAAGGAAGAAATGAAAGGCAAGAGAAAAAGAACAGAAAAGAGGAAAGGAAGAAGGCAGGAGAGAAACTGCAGGACAGGCAGGAGTGAAAGACGGGAGGTGTGGATGGCAACTGGCATCGAAAAGTTTGAAGAGAGATGAACGATTTTCCATCACAGAAGGTAAAAGTAAGAGCGAGATAAATAGGCAAGACAATGTGTGACATTTAAGTACTTCAAAAAGCAACAGCACATCAAAGTTAAATAGTAACTGAAGATATTTCAATGCTGACAAGAAGGGGTTAAAAGGAGCCAATAACACTTGAGTTGCTAACCAACAGGGCTACGCAAAAGACTATTCATGTATTATGCTGCTCATTTCTAATGCCAATCCGGAGAGCACGGCATTGTTAGTTTCCAGTGTAATGACCAGGTAACTGAGGCTACAGAACGTAAGTGACAGGTCGAAGATCTCACATCAGATAACGGAGCCAAAGGCTGAACACGGGTGTCAGAGACGGGGGCAAACTGAGGCCTAATTGGCTTCCTCTGTGAGCACAAAGGAGCAACGCAACACACATGGATGAAGGCATGTTGCAGGTACTGGGGAAAGTTCACACAGCTGAGATTACACTGCACCGGAGCACATGTAAATAAATGGGTGACACGATGCAGATGAATCTTGTGTTACTTAAATTGCTTGAACTACAGTCTGAGTGAATAAAAAAAGGAGGAGGACCCAGGGACTGGGGGCACCTCTGCTGACTAAGAGGCAAGAGCCTCCAATCGGCCCTATGTTAAACTAACTCTGTGTCTCTCATTCACCCCCATGTGCCTCTGGGATCAGGAACAAACTAGCAGCAGGACTGTGGCAAGCCACGCCCTGGGTGGGAAAGCTCAGAGGAATAGGCTGATTCCCCACGGCGGGGGCCTGGGGCAGGAACCTGGGTGCAGGTTGGTCTGCTGCACACTCGCAGTCTTCATTCATTCATTCATTCACTCAGCAACCAACCTGGTACTACTGAGCTATGTGTTGGTTCCTGGGAGGGCCTAGTGAGGAAAACAGACAGTCCTTAATTTTAAGAGTTTATCACTTAGTGAGAAAAATAGTCAATAAACAACTAAGTAAACCAGTAACTCAATATAAAATTGAATGTATATTATAAACAAAATGGCCAGAATAGTAACAGAAAATAAATTGGAGTATTACTAAGTGAACATGGTTAACGAAGTCCAGCTGAGACAAAAGGATAGTAAAGGGTCGGCAATAAAAATAGTAAAAAGTATTCACAGAAGAGTAAAGAGGACTTGTAAATGACCCGAAACAGATGCCCACATGCAGATCCCATAGGCGAGGATCCCATGGGTGAGGAGCACAGTAGTAAGCAAGGTCTACAGGGAAATCTTTCCATGAAGGGTCACAGCATAGCGGCTGCTGCAGGCTGGAAGTCTGGGCTTGAAGTGCTCTGGGAAGGTGAAGAATGGTTTTAGATGAACCACATTTGCGTTTCTAAAAGATCACTCTGCTTTCTGTATGAACATGTAATAGGAAGTAGGAGGTAAGAGCAGTAAATGGAAAGACCAGGAAAGACAGTTTTATAGCATTTTGGTGGTCACATGGATAAAGGTGGTGGCCGTGGAGACAAAGGAAATGGACATCAGAAGGAATCTGAGTTATATTTTGGTGACAGAAACCAGATGCCATCCTGATAGACTGGATATGACACAGAAAGGGAGGAAGGGTGGGTGTGTCTGAATCCTAAGCTCTAAGTCTTCTATATCATTTGATTTTCATAGTGTATTTCTTATAATGCAAAGTTAGCTATATTTATAGTGGCTTTTTTTTATATATTGGGGATTGAACTTAGGACCTTGCACTTGCCTTGCGGGTGCTTATGCCACTGAGCTATATCAGGCTTATACTGCCATTTAAAGTGATGTATATTTTGATAAGTAGTTCACAGTTGCACACTGCTAAGCTCCTCCTCCCACTGTACACTGTCTAGCAACAGACATGCCCTAGACATGATGTGGCAGAAAGAGGGTTTTGGCACCTAGTGGTGAATTGCAGTTTTGCCACTTTGCTGGGTCTATACAAAGAAGTCACAGCTCTGAACCTCAGACTTTATGTGCGCAGGTAAAGATTCTCTTACACTTCCACTGGGAGAAATGGATAATTTATAGTAACTCACAAAACGCATTAGTAGTCAATAAATGGTAGATTCTCACTCTGTTTTCTCCCTTATCTCCCAGTGATAAGAAAGCCATCAGTTTTCAAGTGTCTCTCTAACAGAATACAGAGTACAGGACTGTTGCATTTAACATAATTAAGACACACATTAGGTTTTGGTACTAAAGGCTACTCACATGCAGCTCTATTTAATATATAAATTCTAATTCTGTAACAACCACCTGACTTCCTGACTAGCTGGGCTGCCAGATAAAATATAGACTATTCAGTTTAAATCCAGAATATTCAGTTACACATAAACAAGAAATTTATAAGTATAGTATATCACACACAATATTTGAGGGATAGTTCTACTAAATTCTTTTCACTATCTTAAGTTCAAATTTAATTAGGTGCCTTGCATTTCTATTTGCTAAATCCGACAACTTAATGACTAGGCAAGTCTCTACATGGAATAAATTTTTCCAGGATTCCTTTACAGTCCTGTGAGAGGCTAACCCTTCACTGTGTTACACATTACATCTCTCACTCTAATGAGTCTACACTTCCACTCCTACTCTCTCTGAGGTGATTTCAGCCATTACCTCTCACTTCTACCAATAATCACACAATGCCCAAAGCCTAGAGAGTGGCACTGTATCAGACATGGAATTCTACTTAGAGGTCACAAAGAATGCTCGTGTATGCATGCAGGTAAGTTTGTGGGTGACTATGGGGGAGGGGTGTACACTTGTGGTGTACTTTTAAAAGAATATGCTAACAATACATCACTGAGAATACACTTAGAGAATTTTCTAGTAGTGACAGATTAGATTTGCATCCACATTAATAAAAGCTATTTAGACTGAACAGAGGTACAATCATTTATTGACCAAGCTAAAAGAGAAAAAAGCTTTGAGTTCACTTAATAATAACTGTCTATGAAAGTTAAAGACTCGTGAATCTTTCTTTAAAATCGGACCATATGAAAAGAATGTGAAAGCGTAGGCCACAGTTTTATCTGTCACTGGTCTCCTTTTGAACACACTCAAGTGTTTCAATTTCTGGCTTCAGTACGAAGGAAAAAAATTAAAAGGAAACATAAGTATAGCTACTCCTATGAAATACCCAGAGTATTATTTATGACAGTACTTGCTTTTGCTCCCAACAAGATAAAGAACTTGCTTGCTCTGGAGTAAAAATCAACACACTGAGGAAGTTTTGCTCTTAAACAATTGTCAGTTGAACTAAACAAAATATTTAATAGTGCAGTTTATTTTCACCCTGCTACAAGTTCATTTTCTCACTGTGCCCTGGAAATAAAAAATCTCACAGACCAATGCTAGTCTGTGGACCAGGTTTTGTGTGAGTAGCACCTATGCATATAGAAAACTCTAGAATTTTATACAATGTACCTGCAATACAATGGGAAACATGGAGGGCCCTCCTTTTTCTGGCCATTTTGCCGACCAAAGGTGCTGCTATTTCACTGAAATAAAGGCATAAATATCTTATCCATTCCTAACAATCTCATTAAATAAATATCTATCAGAACAGTAGTTGCCCCAGTTTTAGAAAAAGGAGGATGTGTGCTTACTCTTCCTGACGTAAGTCATTGACGCTGCGGTCCAGTGAGATCATGTCACTTGCCACCATGTTAAATCCAAATTCTTTAATGCTGGCTTGAACTGCATGTTTGAATTCTGGTCCCAAAACCAATGGCTTCGCTTTCTCTCCGGGGCCACCAACCACTCCTTGAGGCTCAGGTTCTTTGGGTTCAAAGTTACCGAGGATCCCGGGGCGTAGCACAGGATCGTGGTAGGTGAATGTCTGAGGCTTAAATGTGAGATACTGCCTCTGCATTATGTCTTTTTGGGAATCTCCTCCAGCATGGTGCTCCTGTTCTTTTTTGGCCTTGTTTTTTCTTCTAATAGACTCTAAATCCACTTCTACTCCTTCCACATGAGGCCATGGCACCACAGGTTTGAATCTGTCATCCCCAGGAGCTAGTCCATTGCCTCCTCGGTTAGGCATGGGGTTATTGACATCTCTGTCTTCCTATACAAAAGGGAGGGGGATATACAATAAGTACATGAAGGCAAACCAGAGCAGGAGAGTTTCTGATACAAATATTCATGTTCGTTAAAAAGCTGAGGCAAAATACAACAGTTTAAAGTATGAAATACAAGCAGGTCATCAATCAGTTCTCATTAGAAAATGTATCTCAGGGTATAAAGGAAACGTCAAAAAAAGCCACTTCCTCATCTTACTATTCCAAAGTACACAAATGGACACATTTTTAGCTTATCCTTATAAATGTAACTCTCTATCAAAGACCTCCAAGTGATATATGTTATCAAGAGTTAGAACAATGAGCTTGTAGGACATTGATTAAAACACTTAATACGTCACACTGTACATAGTCACCTAGTGTATGACAAATAGAACCTTTTGTCAGCAGTGCAGTTATATGGTGGCAGTAACACTGGATGGATATCAACATTAATTTTGTGCCCCAAATGGAAGAGGGACAAGATGGGAATATGCATTCGATAGACCCAATTCAGGATTTTCTTTTCTTTCTTTTTTTTGCTATGTAGTTCAGACTGGCCTTGAACTTGCTATGAGCCCAGCTGGCCTCCAACTCACAATAATCCTCCGGTCTCAGCCTTCTGAGTGCTGGGATTACGGGCATGTGCCACCACACCCAGCTTTAATTCAATGTTTTCAGTGAGAATTTAGCTGAATTTAGAACTATGCAAAGCTCACTTTTAATAACTATAACCAAAAAGCTTGGGTTTTTAAATGATATCTAATACCTACTTTGCCCCATCCCACAGTAAAAACAGATTCTGCATATATGGCTATTCAGTAAAGGGTACCCTTCTTTAAATCTGACTTTTTTTTTTTATTACCTATGGAGAACATTCCATCAGAATCCTGAGTGCTTTTACTTTTGATGTATAGTACATTTACTTTTTCTAAATCAGTATCATTGTTTTCATTATGCAGTGGTTCTATTAGTATCACTTCAGTTGATTTTTAAAAACATTGATGTCTTTGTGTGTTTGTCTCAGACACTGATTTAACCGGTCTGTGTATCTGAATTTTTAAAAAGTATTTCAGGTCACTGTAGGCATCTAAGCCTGACAACCACTAGCTTAAAGCAGAACTGCTGCCTATAATGATACATGGGATTTATTGAGTGTTCACAACAAGAGAAGAGGTGAGGAAAGCAGAACTGAAAGATATGCAAACAAGTCTGCTTCACACTCTATGATAAGACTGCATGATTCCTTGGATATTAACAGAATTAGTACTACCTGACCATCATCTTTCTATCATGGTATAACTATCTAGAAAAGTAAAGTTTAAAACTTTTAAGGAATACAGAAGTAAAGCCTTAAATATGTTACCTACTGGTAGTTTAGCTAGAGACAAAAGTCTCTGTAGAAAGTTATTTCAGAAGTGAATTTAGTGAGTATGGCCAGTAAAAGGAATTCTGAAAACTTATATATTTATTTAAATGATATAAGCATATGATACAAAATGCAAAAGTTCCAAAGGCTATGCAATGCAGAGTAAGCTTTTCTGTTTTTTCTTCTGTAGAGCCAATTATAGCTATCTACTTCTTAAGAGTCTTTCCATAAATATTACATATGCATGTATAAGAACATGTGTATATATGGGATACATTTTTTTCTGGTATCAGGAATCAACCTCACAACCTCACTCTTACTAAGCAGGAATTGTGCCACTAAGCTATATCCCTGGCCTCAGATTTTTAAATTAATTATTAAAAAGGAAACCCTAAGATCGTACAGCTGGTTCAAAGACAAATCCAAAGACAAGACAAACAAACATCAAGAATACTAATTTACAAACAGGTGTTAAATCGGTCAATATCCACAAGGTAATAATAAAATCATTTTATCAAGCACAATTTGCATTTGCATTACTAAACAGGTTTCTGTAATTTACAGGATTTTAAAATAGCCCAAAGATAATGAAAGAGTAGCAAAGTTCTAAAGTTAAGCCAGATAATATTCCCAATCTTTTTTTGAGAGGAGCATTTCAAAATTTTATAAATATCCCCCCATATACCATAATACTGTAAGATGCAGTACCACCTGATTATGTAATCGTGATGCCTTTCTTCAGCCACATGCTTGAAGGTAAGGCCTGAGGAAGCAAGGGCTTATTCTGAACCTAACCTGTGCGCCCTACTAAGCTTCAAAGTAGAAGGTCATCTTGCCAGAACTAAGGGACTAAGGTTTTCTTGAGAAATAACTACTCCTATAAAAAATATATATATACTCAGCATTGAAACTGCAATGAGATTTGGAAGACAGAAAGTGTCTGTTTCTCCAATTTGTCTTCTGGCTCTTCCCCAACTTACTTAAGATAGTGTTGTAAATGAATTAAAATAGAGATCAAGATACTGGACCCAAGTTGTTGATGTTGAATTACATATAGCACACAAAGAAGAAAAGAACACCTTCCCCTTCAGATTTTCACTTTATGGGCTCCAGGGAACTGGTAAATAGGGAGGTAGAAAATGAGAAGCAAAGAAATATCACTGAACACGTAAGCGTACACCAAATCCACAGTCATAGCAGCCACTAGATTATCCAATGTTCCATCAGAGCAAAACTACATTAAAATAATATGGCTATAAGAATACATGAAATCAGCTACCCATACATGCTCTCCTTGACACTGGCCTACACTAACATAAAAATTGTAAATTTAAATACTTCTCAAATTCACCCACTGTAGCAAGAGAAGTTTTCTCTAATACAAATTCCATGCATATCCTCCACTAAATATTGTTTGATCTTTTCTCTGACTTAATGACTTTGTCCAACCTTGCTGGTGTTCCTAGGATTCTATGAGAATTCTATTTGTTATTATATTCTACTGTAGGTTACTTCACCAGTTGTCCACGTCTATTTCCCAATCCTTATCACATTTCTGATCTCCAGATCTTACAGTCAACTGTTTTCTGAACATTTCTACTTATATCTTTCTGGCACCTAAATATAACATACCTGAAACTGAATCTTTCATTCATTCACCTTACATCATCTGTTTTATTTACTTCCCTCCTTCTGGGAACCACCATCCACTGAACTGATCAAATCCAAACCCTGTATTCACCTTCAACTTCTTGTTCTGCCGACCCCTCTGACATTCAATCAGCATGAATTTCCATCAGTTCTGTCACCTGGGCAGCTCCTGAATTTGACCACTTCCATTACTGTCATCACCACTGCTTTACTTTGGGCCACTCATGGCCACTCATACCTAAACAAGACTACTACAAATGTCATAACAATGGTAACTATAAATACTATTTTTCTACAGCAGTAGGGATTTTCCCTAGTTAAAATATAAGCATGGTAACTTTCCCTGCTTACAACATTTCACCAATGTGGTAAGTTTATGTTCCTCACAGGATGCACCAGGCTTTCCAGACTCCTGCTTGAATTTATGCAACGTCTCCATTGTGAATCAAGAGAGTAGGAGTTAACTAATTTGAAGAGGAATAAATAATGAACATTTTTGGTTTTGCAGACCGCAGGATCTCTGCTGCAATTATTTGTTTGCCATTGTAGCTGTAAAACAGTTACAGACAATATATAAATGAACAAATAAGGCTGTGTTCAATAAAACTTCATGCACAAAGACAGATGATAGGTGGACTTGGCCACCATTACCTGCCTTCGACCTTTAGTCTTGTGAAAGACAAGAGCCTACCATAGGCACCACTCCATTTTCAGTGGTTATCCTGGCAGGTAATTCCTCAGCAAATATTTACTGAATACATGAATGGGTATTTCTGCTTGGTGACAAGAGGCTAAGAGAGGAAAAGGGAAAGAAAGAGAACAGAGAATCTGAAATGTGAGAGAGGGATCTGTATCAGAGGGGCTTATATTGGCAATACCTAAGAATTCATCAGGAACATAATTATTGTCTGCATGGTATTTTACTTGAAACAATTACATAAAACAACATCAGAAAAACTGAATTTTCTTAATTCTCAAAGCTTGTATCCCATTAAATCTAAAGGCAGAATCAAATGGTAGAACTGTATGTAACACCAAGTCAGTTAAGAATAATCACATCAAATCTTAATGTCATGTGATTCAAAGAGTGGCTGTAAAGTACAATACTTAACTTCCCAGAAGGGAAACTTCACACTTCTTCCTGAGAGTGAATGAGAATTAGTAAATGCCTCTGTGACTCACTGGCACTATGATGCTTTCATAAGCAACAGCTGATTTACTATACAGCCAAAATCAATGAATCACGGTGACTAGAAATGGAAAACAGAATCAGTAGAGAACTTTCCAAGATCATTATGTTCAGAAAAGCAGAACTAGACTGACAATATATTCACATATCATAAGATGGTCAGACTATAGTCACTATCCTCCTTACAACTTAGAGGACCTCTACTCATACTCTCAAAGCCTACTTATGTATGCTATTTTTCCAACATGTTCATGCCTTGGCAGAAATTCTATGAATCCAGAAGGATTTAGAAAAATGATCTTTAGAGCAAATGACAGTGAGATAGGCATTTTGGGACTTGGAGTCAAGCGAACCCCAGAAAACTACATCCATAATGATGAGCTTATATAGTCACATGACCTTTTGAGAAATTACAACTTGGGAATGGCTACTATTAAACATGTGTGCACTATTTGGTTATCCTTCTTCATGTGCCACAGAATTTAGAAGTATAACATGACAAATTTCATTCTGTGATTTAAAACCCGTCTGACCAAAAATACCTTTAGAATATAATTCATATCCTCATCCATTTTCTGGTTATCCATTTTCTGGTTATACTTACTCATCTAGGAGATGAAGGAACAAGTGCAGAGAGCAGAGAGGGAGGCTGTTAGAGCAGACAGCAGAAGTCCAGGGGAAATCGGGTGTGCACTGGGCAGGGGCTCCTCCCACGCTCACCATAGTGTGGTGCTTTGTGGGTGGGAACATGGGTGCTCAGGCCTTGGTACCCTTTCTTCTCTCCACTTAGCTACAACTGG